TTGTGCTCCTGGCATTCAGCTTCTGGAATGAGCCACAGCCTACAGCTGGCCCCAACTTCTATGAGCTGAGGACATACAAACTCAAGGTGCCTCCCTCCCCCACAGTCCCTCCGCCTCCCACCATCCCTGCTTTAGGTGCCTGATCACAATGCCCACAGGAGTACCTGGAATTCCGAAAGGAGCGGAGCTGCATGCTGCTGTCCAGGAGAAATCAGTTGCTCCTGGCATTCAGCTTCTGGAATGAGCCACAGCCTACAGCTGGCCCCAACTTCTATGAGCTGAGGACATACAAACTCAAGGTGCCTCCCTCCCCCACAGTCCCTCCGCCTCCCACCATCCCTGCTTTGCAGGTGCCTGAGGGGGTGGGCCCTGTGTCCCAGTGCATGGACTGGGCCCCTGGCCAGCCTGGCCCCACGGGCTCAGAGGAGAAGTCTATGTTCCTGGGTGTACTTGGGGAGGCCCCTGGAGCTGGACAGACAGCACAGAGTCCGTCCCTGCCCTGTTGTGATGCTGGGACTCCAAGGCCGTGCTCATTCCCTCTTCCCTCTGGTTCTATTTCAGCCAGGAACCATGATCGAGTGGGGCAACAACTGGTGAGTGGTGGCACTGGGGCTGGGCTGTGGGAAACCCCTAGTGGACCACTTGTCCAGAACTGTCACAGGAACCTGCTCTGCCCCTCAGGGATCCAGAAAAGGATCCAGCCATAAGATATAGGTCTCCTAGAGGAAGTGAGGCTGCTTTTGGTAAAAAATCAGCCAGCTGCTGCACTTCCATCATCCCCAAGCATCACTGAATGCCACAGGCCCTACCTTGGGTCCCTTTTGTGAGGTGTGGCCAAGGAATCAGCCTGGGGTCATCCTGGGAGTTGCTTCGCGTTGGCCTGGCCTCTTCCCCACACTCTGCCATCTGCAGAGCTTGAGCCATCAAGTACCGGCAGGAGAACCAGGAAGCAGTGGGCGGCTTCTTCTCGCAGATAGGAGAACTCTACGTTGTACACCATCTCTGGGGTAGGTCAGGAACTTTCTAGGAGCCTTCTGTTTGTCCCATTTCTCCACTGCCACTTGTAAACAGTTGGAATACAGGGCCAGGGATTTAGCTCATTGACACCGCGCCTGCCTCACAAGTGAAAGGTTGTGAGTTTGATCCCTGGTACCAAAAACAGAAGAAAACCAAAAAACAAAAAGCAATGAGAATATGTTAGTGCATGTGTGGAAATTACACTCTAGTAGAGGGAGGTGCTACCCCAGATGTAAACTAATAAAAAAAACATATTAATTTCAGATGTTTATAAATAATAATATCTAAGGCGGGGGGTTTAGCTAAGCAGCGCCATACCTGCCTGGCAAGCACAAGATCGTACGCTCAATTTTCAGTACCAAATTAATAAAATAATAAAAGTAATAATAAAATAATAGTAATAATAATAATATCTGTGGGAAAAAAGGCAGGTAGATGTGATAGAGAAAACAGGATATTTACCTTGGTTGGCTTGGGCAGATGAAATGGCCTCTCTAAGAGGTAACATGGAAGTGCAGAGCTAAAAGATGAGAAGGAGCAGCTGTGAAGTGCTGGGCAAAGACACGACAAGTGAGAAAGGCTGTTTGTGTTTGTTTTGTTTTGTTTTTGAGATAGGGTCTCACTATGAGGTTCAGGCTGGCCTGGAACTCCTGACGACCCTCCTGTCTCAGCCTCCAGAGTGTTTGCTGGGGTTACAGACATGTTCTACCACACCCAGCTGCCTTTGAGGTTTTGAGGGGTGAAAAAGAAAGCCAGTGTGGAGTAGTGGAGGAAAGTGAGAAGGGATGGGACAGAAGACAGGGGAGATACTACATAAACTGGGCCTCACAGGCCAGGGGAGGAGTTGGGATTTATCATAAATGCAACGGGAGGCTGCTACAGTGTTCTTAGGGCTCTTCTGGCTGCTGTGCGCCGTACTGAGAGCGCCTGGTGGAGGAGCAAGGATCTGGAGATGCTCACACTGGTTCATGCGGGCAGGGATGGGGCCTGGCCTCGGGGAGTAGAAGGGGATGCGGAGACATCTGTACAGTTACAATGTCGAGGCTGACCTGTGGGACTGGAGGATAAACTGTCACGGGGGAGGGAGGACGAGAGAGAAGATTCCAGAACTGCTCCAGGCTCCTCTGCGCAGCTGTGCGTTGTCCTTCGCTAAGACCGAGAGGTCTGGAGGAGGAGTAGGCCGGAGGGGTCAGGAATTTAATTTTGGCTCTCTGAAATGTTACGTTTAAGATGCTGACACATTCAAATACAGATGTCACATGGGCACGACCCGTATACTTCAGAGTCGGCAGGAGAGTGTGGGGCTGGAAACACAGATTTAGCAGTCGTGGTCATGCGAACTCTGAAGGGCTTTCCACACCACCACAAGGCCTTTCTATGTGCTGTTCCCTCCCCTCATCTGAGAGAGAGAGAGAGAGAGAGAGAGAGAGAGAGAGAGAGAGAGAGTGTGTGTGTGTGTGTGTGTGTGTGTTTACTGGAGATCGAACTCAGGACCGCTTAGGCTTGTGAGGCAGGTGGTGGAACCACTGAGCTAAATCCCCAGCCCAAGCCTTTTTTTTTTCTTTGTCACCATGTTTCTCTGTCTTGCTTCCTTGTTTCTTCTCTGTAATTATTATTTGTAATTAAACTTTTTTTTTTGGTACCGGGGATTGAACTCAGGACTTTGCACTTGCAAAGCAGGCGTAACTACTGAGCTAAATCCCTGGCCCTATTTGTAACTATATAAAGTTAATCTTTTCATTGATTGGATGAGATTGACAAAGCAGAAAATGTTTGCTGATAGCCTGAAGGAGGAAGAGATAGGAGGCCAGGTTTTGGGGCAGTGGGGACCTGTGTTGGGGAAGAGGTCAGATCCTCTGACCTGAGGAATGAGCCTCTTTCCCACAGCCCAGAGACCTGCAGTCTCGGGAGGAGACTCGAGATGCTGCCTGGAGGAAGAGGGGCTGGGATGAAAACGTCTGCTATACAGGTGAGCACCTCCTCTCAGTCATTTCGGCCTTGGGAGGTCATCTGCTGGCAGCCCTGTTTGAGGAGAAGGGAATCTTGATTGCCTGCAAGGATGGGAAGCTCATTGTTTTTGGGCAGATACTGAAGATCTAACTGAGAGCCTTTGCACTGGGTTACATCCTTAGCTCCTTTAAAATTTAGAAAGAAATTGTAGCCTGGTGTGGTGGGTGATGCATGCCTGTAATTTCAGTACTAAGGGGGTGGGGGGGCAAGAGGATTACCACAATTTGAGGTTAGCCTGGGATACAAAGTCAGTTCAAAACTAGCCTGAACTACAGAGCAAGATCCTGTCTCAAAAAAGAAAATTTAATTTTTTAAATTTTGAGACAGGGTCTTGCTAAGTTTCCCAGGCTGGGCGTGAACTTGCAGTTCTCCTGGAGTTTTGGGATTATAGGTGTGTGCCTTGGGTCCCAGCTGGGAACTCACTTTAAGATGGTGGGTTACTGGTTTTCTTTTTTTTTTTGTACAGGGATTTGAACTGGGGACCTTGTGCTTGCAAGGTGGTGGCACCACTGAGCTAAATTCCCCGGCCCTGGTTTTCTATTCTGATAGCATACTCCACATGGTAGAGACAGTTCTGAGTGCTCTAGGGGACCATAATATAGCCAGGTGACCCCTGCCTGAGAGCTGCAGAGTAGCTGGATGCCTACCACCACCTTGGGGGTGGTTTTGCACTGTGCTGAGGCTGCTTTTTCCTTGATAAACTGGTTATTTTGGTCCTGCCTCCCTCACTAGGTGGCTGGGAGAACTTACGAACTAATTTATGACGAGTGCTTTGGCCTCACTGTGGCAAGAAGCACGCAGCAATCTTTTGTTTTTGAGCAGGTTTTTTGCCACTTTGCTAGAAGGTGGAGTCAGTAGGTGTTGACGTGTTATGTGTGGGGGGACTGGCGGGTGAGTGGGCAGGTGCACATCTATAAATAAAAGGCTGTCCTTGCCCTTGAGGAGCTTTCCCTCCCTCCGTCACACTTCCAGCTGGTGTGAGGACGAATGTGTCTACTGAAGGAGGTGGTGCAAGCCTTGCTCTTCAGTGTGCTCCCGACGGACAGTGGCACATACCCTGGGCGCTCCTTAAAAACACCCATCAGCTCTCCTAGAAAGCTGTTAAATCAGAATCTGCACTTCAACAGGAACTGTGGGTGATCTGTATGCACGTTAAAGTGTGAAGAGCTCTGAGCAGTAAGAGTCTTAACTTTCTGGGTGACCTTGAGCTAGCTGACCCTCTCTGCGTTGCAACCTCCCCAAATGGAAAGTGAGGCAGTTTTTCAAAGCTCGGTCACTTGAGGACTCTCATATAACCTTTTCCTCGGTGCTAGGATACAATGGTACTATGACTATATGATGATTCTTACTTCCTTCTTTCTTTTCTTTTTCTATCTCTGTCTCTCCTCTGCCCACCCAGTGCTGAGGGTTGAACACCCAGGACCTTGCCCAAGCTACTGAGCTATATCCACAATCTTACAGTTATTTTCTTTATATCGCCATACTTGTCCTTAGTGGTATCTGAGAAATAATTTTTTACTATGCCATTATTTTGTTTTGTTTTTTATAGTGCTGGGGATGGAACCCAGGGCCAAACGTGCTAGGCAAGCACTTTTGCACTGAGCTACATCCCCAGCCATCCAGTTATTTTTTTTTCCACATATACAGGAAAAGATGTATGTTTTAAAGAATGTTCATGGCATCACCACCGAAGTCCTGTTTTATTCTGTAATTGGGACAACCTAGTACTATCCATGTGCCCTTTTAGGAGGGCATGAGGCTCGTCTTAGCACCTGATGCCTCTCTGTAGAAGCCTCTGTGTGTGTGTGTGTGTGTGTGTGTGTGTGTGTGTGCGCGCGCATGCGAGCACGTTCCTCAGCCCCTTGTGTGACATCTGTCCCTCTCTCCACAGGCCCCTTGGTGCGGCACATGGAGTCTCGGATCATGATCCCCTTGAAGATTTCACCTCTTCAGTGATGCTGCTGTTACCTCCACCTCTTTCCCCTTCTCTCTCAGGGCAGCCTGGGGCAGAGGAACTTCTGGTCCTGCTGTCTTGGTTTTCTCTGGGCTCTGGGAGGACTCTGACAGGTAGAGAGAGCTCAGCTCAAAGATGACAAGGTTCTGAGGAGTTACAGTTCTGTCCAGAACTTCCTACCCTCCCCGCCCATGTCCTTCTCTTTGCTGGAAGTCGTTTCTAAGTTCCGAGTGAAGAATAGCAACCTTCTAGGTCTTGTCACATTACCTCCCTAAGATTACTCATTTTAAGGCCTCCTGTCCCCAGATTATCACCATGGAAATCCTTGATTTAGCTTAGTTGCACAGAAGGTAGAATAACCAACCAGTGGTTAGAGGTGGGGTGGGAGAGGAGGAAGTCAGACCAGGCATGGCCCTCAAGAACTCCCTGGTCTCCACTGGGTCACCCACTTGCTAGACAAGTAAGTCTGAGCCAAATTCGTCCTGCTGAGAAAAAGCTGGGAACTGCCACCAACCCTCAGCTGTCAAGAGATCCAGGGTTCTACCCAGTGAAGCTAGAGAAAGAGATTGGAACAGGGAGGATTTGGGGGCAGGAGACAGACATGGAACAGAAACCCAGAAGCTAGCACTTGGGTTTGAATTGCAGAATTTGGAATACAGAATTGGCAGATAGAACAGATGTGACAGAAGACCCCTTGGGCAGTCCCAATAGTAGACAAATGAAGAGAGGCTGATTTCCCTTTACATAATGAAGTTGAGACTAGAATATGTAGGTTTGGCCTTTCTCCTGCCAGCTCCCTTCTCACTGCAGGCCAACGCATTTCCATCATTCCGCATTTCTTCGCCACCACATTCTGTCAACTGCACCCTCATTTTCCAGAGCTGTGAGATCTGTGGAACAGGATCATTGACTTGGGACCTCCTCTGTGAACCCATTCCAATACCTCACGAACCCCAGGGTAGCCTGATTTTGCCTCTCTACCAGGAAAACGTGCTGGAGTTGCTAATGGAACCAATTAAATATTTACTATAAGTTGCAGCCTCATTTCTTATCTGCAGGGAACTTCAGCAGGGACCCAACGGAGGGAAGAGCAGAGTTGACCAGCTTCCCAGTTCCACCTGGCTGATCAGCCCCCTTGGAGGCTATTGTGCTCCAGGGCTACTCTCAGGGAGGGAATTTTCATTGTCACTCCAGAGCCAAAAGCCCTATCTTCATAACAGGATTCAGGATAGGAGTATTTCTAGCTCCAGATAAGTGGGATTTTACCCCCAAAATCCTTGGCCCTGTCTTACAATTCATGCCAGGGTTAAGAAACACTGAAGCTTTCAAATACAGTACTGTGTTCAAATCTGGACATGGTAGCGCATGCCTACAGTCCCAACAGTGTGGGAGGCTGAGGCAGAAGGACCGCAAGTTCAACGCAGCTTGGGCAAGTCAACAATTTAGAACTTGTCTCAACATAAAAAGGCCTTAGGACGCAGCTCAATGTGAAAGAGCTAGATTCAATCTACAATACAATAGCTACAATCTTAAGCATACCACAAACTCATTTACTCAACAAATCAGCAAAGTGCCCACCAACTGCTGGGCTCAGCTTTACTCGCTAGGAAAAGAGTGAATCCATGTCCTGAAAGCTCGTTTCCCGATTTTCAGGTCAGCCATATCTACGTAGCCCAGTTGCAAACCTCCGCTTCCTTGTTTCCCACATCGCTCTGCGCTTCTCGCGGGATAAAGCGCGCCCCGCCTCACTACGGCCCTCCAGCCTCACTTCCGGTCGGCCGCTCTTTCCTTCTGTTTCTCTGTGGTACGTGGATAGCGGTTGTCCCGCTGCCGGGAGTAGTTCGCTGGGTTGGATTAGTTCGCTGAGAGACGAGGTGAGGTGAGAAGGGAATTAGGGCCGTGGGGGGGCGGGGGGGGGCGATGGACTGGGCTTGGAACTCCTGGACGGGCGGAAGGAAAGGTTCTGCCTTCCATTTTCAGGGTACCTGTTCGGGGCCGTAGCGGTGTTTTCTCATCTGCAAAGTATTCATTACAGTATCTTGTACTGTGTATCCTTCTGATGATGATGACAGTGGTGGTAACCGGTTTTGTGTGTGTGTGTGTGTGGTATTGAGGATTGGACCTAGGAGCGCTTTATCACTGAGCTGTATCCACAGCCCTTTTTTGTTTTTATTTTGAGACAGGGTTTTGCTAAATTGCCTAGGCTAGCTTGGAACTTGGCGAACTCAGCCTCCCTAGTAGCAGGAATTACCGGCGTGTAATTACAGCACTGTTTAGGTTTGTTGTACATTTTTTGTGTGCCAGTCACGCTATGTTGCCAAAGTCGGGATTTCCAGCACTTAAGGCTTTGAAGTCCCACCTTTGTGGATTTTGCTTAATCAGTTTACTACTAACTTCCCAAACTTCTCAGGAACCCTAATAAGGGTTTTTTTTATCCAGTCACTATTTTTCAGAGGAGGGTACTGGAGATTGAATTCAGGACTCACGCTCTACCACTGAGCCATACTCTCAGTCCAGTCACTATTTAAACTTAAATTTTATTTGAGAGAAAAATTTTCTTTGAGAGAAAATTTCAAGATACTTGATATACTGATCATTGTTAACAAATTTAGGCCAGGTTTCATTGTTGAAATCTCTGAAGCAAAATCCTTTTATTACAAAGGAATCTTGCCATTCTTAGATGTTAAAGGTGAGCTAGGGAACTGAGGTATTATTGAAGTGATTGCAAGTTTCAAAAAAGAATTAAAGCCCGGAGGTGGTGGCCCACGCCTGTAATCCCAGCACTCCTGGCACTTGGGAGGCTGAGACAGGAGGATCTCTGTGAGTTTGAGACTAGTCTGAGCTACATAGTGAGTTCCAGGTCAGTCTCAACTACATAGTGAGACCCTGTCTTAAGAAAGCAAAACAAAAAAAGAATTGAAAAGAGATTGACTTTTTCCTTAGGTGTCCAGCATTGTGTGAGATCACCGTGCACCATCCAAAGCTCCATCCCAGTTCACCTTCCCCAGTGGAGTGTCACCTGTGTTAATGCCCCCGACAACCCCTGAAGTAGGGACTCACTTGATTTGTGAGGAAGTATATGCAGAGAAAAGTGACGTGAACTTGTCCCAGAACTCAAGAGTCATAAAACAGTAGAGTGGAGATTCCAACTCCAGGCACTCTCTGACTCCACCACAACCTACTGCTGGCTCTATCCATTAGTGTTGGCGACAGGTCAATCAGGTAAGGGACGCAGTGCTGCCCACTTCAGGGTTTTTGTGGTGATAACCATGAGAGGTGGCAAGGGAGTTGACCAGGGAATTTGGACTTCTTTCAGTGCATTGTAAAGAGCCAGTAAAAATTATAAAACAGGAAAGGAATTAATTAGTTGGGTATCTTTCTATAAAAGAGAATTTAGACAGCATTGCTCTGTACGACTGTTAGTTGTAGTCCAGGAGAGGAATGTGGAGGCCTGGCCTAGAGTCTTGAGTTGAGAGAACATGGCACCTGGGATTGCTAGGTAAATACCAGAATGTAGGATGCTTCTGTGAAGAGTGTGAGCAGAATGTGAGTGGGGATGGGAAGGGATATTCCAAGTTCAGTGGGTGGTTGGTGAAACCTGTTTTAAAAAAGAGGTAAAACGCCGGGCGTGCTGGTGCATGCCTGTAATCCCAGCACTCGGGTGGCTGAGGCAGCAGGATCGCTGGAAGTTCAAGACCAGCCTGGACTACATAGAGAGTTACAGGTCAGACTCAACTACGTAGTGAGACCCTGTCTCAAAACACCAAAAAAGTAGAGGTAAAGGGCTGGTGATATAGCTTAGGGGTAGAGCACTTGCCAAGCATTTGCAAGGCCCTGGGTTCATTCCTCAGCATTGGAGAGAAAAAAGGTGACGCAGAGAAATTCATTTTGGACAGAATAAAGGATGATTCTCGATTTTACAGAGGCTTCAGTTATTACATCTGTAGGAAGCCAGAACTTCTAGTTAGATTTTAGTGTTCAGATTTAAAAAAGAGAGAAATCCCTAGTGCTGACCTTAGAAAACCTCAAAAACTTTCTCCTCTTAAAAGCTTTCTGTTGTCTCTTCCCTACCTCAAGGAACAACCATGTCATCAGAATCAAGCTAAAAACGGAAGCCCAAAGTGATCCGAGGTGAACGGGCTCCAGTTGAAGGAAAGCGGAATCGATCTGACACTGAGCAGGTGAGTCAGCCACGACTGCCATGCTGCTGAGAGATTGCAGCTCACAATCAGGCACCTGCTGATGGGTTTGCAGCAGCCCGGAGTTGCATCTAACAGAGAATCTGCTGTGGCCTCCATTTGACCAGCAAACTAGAATTTCTGTGATTCCATACAACCTAAGTGTCTACATGAGGTTTAACTGCAGTATCCCAAGAACCAACAACCATTCATTATACACAATTAGGACCTGCACAGAGAATGTGTTCAGTGTGCTGTGTCTCCATTTTTCCCAATAGGCACAAGGCAGAGGTTGTATCTACAGCATAGCCCCGATGTTTCAGAGATTTTGCATCCTGGGAACTGTTGCTGAGAGGGTACCAAATAATGTGTCCTCGTTACCTGTGCTTTGGCCAGAGAGGTCTTACGGTCAGCAAATTCTCTTTCGTCTGTTTCTCAGACCTTGAGTATGTTAAGCTAATTCACGACTTAGCTGTTTTGATTGATTGGCTAGTTGTATTTTTATTGTTGTTTTTTTGCTTTCTGGTTTTGGGGATTGAACCCCAGGGATGCTGCATCCCAGCCTACCTACTTATTTACCTGTTCATACTTTTGGTGGGGCGGGTTAGACAGGGTATCGCTGTGTAGTTCACACTGGCCTTGAACTCACTGTGTAACCTAGTCTGGCCTTGAACTCATAGTGATCCTACCTCAGCCTCCCAAGTGCTGGGATTATAGGTGTGTGCCATTCTGCCCAGCATATTTATACTTATTTCTGAGGTCCTGAATATGAGAAATATTTCTTTCAGTATGAGAACATGAGAATATTTATTTGAATCTAGGGCATTGTGCATGCTAGGCAAGCACTCCACTGCTGAACCACATCTCTAGACCTTTATTTTTTATTTTGAAGCAGGGTCTAAGCTACCCAGTCTGCTCTCCAACTTGTGATCCTCCTGCCTCAGCTTCCTGAGTAGCTGGGATTATTGGTATGCATTATCATGCTCTGCTTGTTTGGTTTCTTAAAGGGAGAATAGGGAAACATACTAGCTTCAATTTGAATTAAATGGGCTAGGGATGCTGGTAGTGATAGAGTGCAGGTTTGGCATGTGAGAGGCCCTGACTTCAATGCCCAGCATCAAAAACAAAACACACTCTTAGCACTTGTTTTTTTGGTACCAGGTATCAAACTGAGGACCTTACACTTATGAGGCAGGAAGATGCCACTGAGCTAAATCCCCAGCCCAAGCACTTGTATTTTTAACTTGTGAACAAAGAAAGACTTAAAAACAAATGCAAAATATAAAAATACTTCCTTTGCAAGGGAGGCAGGGGAATGGAGAAAAAATAAGAACCAAGATATATTATGTAAAGATACAAATTTCCAGTGATAAAATGTCATTATATTGTATACCTCAAATGTACCAATAAAATTAATTAAAAAAAAAAAAACAAACCAGAAAACTTCCTTTGCAACCCAGAACTCATTATTCATATCAGTTTTTTTTTTTTTT